CTCTCCTGGGTTTGTGAATTTCTGTATGAAAGAATTTTTTAAAAAATATTTCTTAAAGTGTGTTATTCCTGGGGAAAGGCTTTATTGAAAAGGTGTGTCTGACACTCACACTGACTGAACAGAGTCTGGTATCTTGTGTCCGGGGTTCCATAGTTGGGGACCTGCCACAAAGAACACTACTCCTGGCAGTCTAAATGAGTCTCTCTCCATCTGTGTTGATTTTGTGAAGTGCAGTTGAAGGGTCACAGAAAGTGGGCAGTTTCTGAGTATGCTAAGCCTCAGTCTATTATGGTCTTTGTCAATTAACACCAGGGGTTTGAATTTTGTTCTGAAGCGAAGAGGGGGAGTCAGCGTAGCTCATGAAGCTCAGGTCTGAAATGTTCACTACCGCCTTTCTTTATGGGTTGTCTTTAGCAGAGAAGTAACTTTTTGTTCTTGTTAACTCCCCCCCCCCCATTCAGATATGTAGGGCAGTGCATGAGTTAGCTTGCCTGGCTGTTTGTTTACTTGGTGTGTCCCTACTGAGGATTATGAGGTGCGCTGCTGAGCAATGTACCATTGTGGTGGAGGCTGTGTTCTTAGCATTTGGCATGTTTTGTCTTCAACAAAATCCTATATAAGGGTATTTATTATTAACAATATCTATAATGTTAACTTGCATGTAAAAATTAGGCTGTGTCCATAATGGGTTTAATCCAGTTCCCATTGAAGCCAATGAGAGAGCTGGGTTCAGTGAAAGCAGGATAAGGACCAAGGGCCAGGTGTTCAAAAGTATTTAGGTGCCTAAAGATGCAGATAGGCACCTAGAGAGATTTTCAAAAGCATCTAGGCACCTAACTCCCATTGATACGAGCTTGTTGCTACTACCAATGTTGTGGCAGCTGCATTGTTCTAGCCTGCTATCCCTGACCAGAAGAGACAGGGATTTTTATTTTATTTTTTGTTTTGTCTGAGAACTGTATTAGCCAAATCCTTCTATGGGTAGTCTGTAATCCCTGTCTACATTGGTCAAGGAAACCTTGCTAGCAATTACCACGCTGAAATATGGTGGTGACTGTTACAGTTCTGATTCCAGAGAGGACAGAGTTTTAGTGGAATCATTTGGCTCGTCATCTGTTCTTTCCCTTTCTTTTGTCCCTGTGAACTAGTGGAATAGCTCAGCGGGAAAAAAAATAGAAAAATGTATTTGTGGTTCAGCAAGATCTCCTCAAGATTAAAATACTATATTAAAAGAACATGGAAATTTGCCCAGGACTGGGACCCCAAGGTAGAGCTTGGCCATCCCAAAACCATTTTCCCACTCTGTCTCCTAGACAGTCATTCTTAGAACCATTCCTCTGAACGTCTAAACTGAAGTTCACCAGGAGTTAGGCAGTGCCCTTCACTGGGTCACAGTCTATTTGTCAGATCAGTCAGAACAAAGCACTAGTTTGAATGCCCTTTTGTACGTCTGTAAGTTACATTTTTACCCTGAGAAATATTGATTTTTCTTTCATTATTTACTGATAATTGCATTTGCAGTTAGTGTAGTGTGAACTGTGGTCAGCACATGGACCCTGCTGGCTTTGGGTATACGGTCCATCATGTGCAGAGTGTGTGAAATAATTTCAGTTGAGAAATATGAAAATTGAGGTCTGGGGTAAAACAAGCCATTGGAAATGTATCAAGAAACAGTCGCTAGTGGGAATGAATTGATAAAAGGAAGTGAGATGGCCAAAACGCTTTTTCTTGTCTCTATTAGTGGGTGGAACTGGTCTGGCATAAGAGAACATGAAGAAACCAACTGAACAGGTATGAAATTATCATTCCTGTTGTATGGCAAACTTGCTGTGTTGAGTTCTACATGCAGCCATCGTAGACTAACCCGCCCTGGTGACTCAGTCTAGACAAATGTTCATTACAGGTGATGGGGCTGGATCGCTTTGCCCAATTAATGTCTTCCTGAGCAATACAAAAAAAGCAGTCAGAACTATTATGAGTAATGTCCTCTGAAAAAAAACATGTCTCTCTTCAGCAGCATAAACAATTTGAGCTGTAGAGTGCCTGGCCTGATCTAGTATCGGAGGACCTGGAGAAACCAAACTAACAAATACCTTTCTCCAGTCTCCTCCTGTTCCTGCACAGGTCGGTGGGAACTTCAGCAGCTATACTTAGCATGCAAACCAAAACAGATGTGAGTAACAATTAATATGGTAAACCTAAATGACTGTTTTCTGAGTAGCAGCCATGTTAGTCTGTATCCGCAAAAAGACAAGGAAGACTTGTGGCACCTTGGAGACTAACACATAAATAGGTTGTCTCCTTGTCTAAATGACTGTGACATCCATTGTAAGCTGCTACTTCAGTTCAATAGTAACAGAAGGAAGTGTATATTGATACTCATATGTTTGCCCTTTACAATTCTAAAGGACAAAAACTGCTCTCTTGGACCAAGATGTGGATTACTAGCTGTAACAGAATGGACCTTAGCTGAGGTTTCTGATTAAAATCTCAAAAGTCTCTGAGACTCAGAGCCTGTATATAAGCCACTAAGTCCTACTTTGGGTGTCCAAACAGAACAGTCAGATTATCATAAGAACATGAGAATGGCCATATTAGGTCAGACTAATGGTCCATCTAGCTCAGTATCCTGTCTTCTGATAGTGGGCGGTGCCAGATGCTACAGAGGGTATGAACAAAATGGCCATTATCAAGTGATCTGCCAGTCAGAGGGTTAGGGTTAGGGTTACCCAGAGCATGGGATTGCGTCAATTACCTTCTTGGCTAACATGAACTTACCTAATTCTTTTTTTAACCCAATTATAGTTGTGGCCTTCACAACATTCCCCAGCAATGAGTTCCAGAGATGGATTGTCATTGTGTGAAGAAGTACTTCCTTATGTTTATTTTAAACCTGTTGCCTTTTAATTTCATTGTGTGACTCCTGGTCCTTGTGTTATGTGAAGGGGTAAATAACATTTCCTTCTTCATTTTCTCCACACCATTCATGATTTTATAGATCTCTCTCATATCCCCCCTTAGTCATCTCTTTTGTAAACTGAATAGTTCCAGTCTTTTTTAATGTCTCCTCATATGGAAGTTGTTCCATACCCCTAATACTTTTTTTGCCCTTCCCTGTATTTTTTCCAATTCTAATATGTCTTTTTAGAGATGGGGCAACCAGAACTGCATTCAGTATTTAAGGTGTGGGCATATACTGAATTTATACAGTGGGATTGTGATATTTTCTGTCTTATGATCTATCCCTTTCCTATTGGTTCCTAACATTCTGTTAGCTTTTCTGACTGCCACTGCACACTGAGCAGATGATTTCAGAGAACCATCCCTGATGACTTCTAGATCTCGTTCTTGAGTGATAACAGCTAATTTAAACCCATTCATTTTATCTGTATAGCTCAGATTATGTTTTCCAATGTGCATTACTTTGCAATTATCGCCACTGAATTTCATCTGCCATTTTGTTGCCCAGTCACCCAGTTTTGTGATATCCCTTTGTAACTCTTTGCAGTCAGCTTTGGCCTTCAGTATATTGAGTAATTTTGTATTGTTGGCAAACTTTGCCACCTCACTGTTTACCCCCTTTTCCAGATCATTTATGAGTTTGTTGAACAGCACTGGTCCCAGTACAGATCCTTGGGGGACCCTGCTATCTACCTCTCTCGTCTGTGAAAACAGACCTTTATTCCGATCCTTTTTTTCCAGTCTCTTAACCAGTTACTGATCCATGAGAGGACCTTCCCTCTTATCCCATGACAGATTACTTTGCTTAAGAGCTTTCGGTATGGGACCTTGTCAAAGGCTTTCTGAAAATCCAAGTACACTATTTCAACTGGATCACCCTTGTCCACATGCTTATTGACCACCTCAGACAATTCTAATAGATTGGTGAGGCATGATTTCCCTTTACAAAAGTCACACTGAATCTTCCGCAACATATCTTGTCTGATAATTCTCTTCTATAGTGTTAACCAATTTGCTTGGTACTGAAGTTAGGCTTACTGGCCTGTAATTGCCAGGATCTCTGCTGGAGCCTTTTTTTAAAACTGGTGTTAATTAGTTATCCTTCAGCCACTTGGTACAGGTGATATATATATACAGGTGATACAGGTTACATATCACAGTTAATAGGTCTGCAGATTCATATTTGAGTTCCTTCAGAACACTTGGGTGAATACCATCTAGTCCTGGTGAGTTACTACTATTAATTGATCAATTTGTTCCAAAATCTCCTCTACTACACCTCATTCTGGGACAGATCCTCAGATATGTCACCTAAAAAAGAATGACTCAGGTATGGGAATCTCTCTCACATCCTCTGCAGTGAAGATTGATGCAAAAAATTCATTTAGCTTCTCACAATGCCATTGTCTTTGAGTGCTCTTTCAGCACCTCCATCATCCAGTGGCCCCACTGATTGTTTGGCAGGTTTCTTGCTTCTGACATACTTAACATTTTTTGTTGTTGTTAGTTTTTGTGTCTTTTGCTAGTTGCTCTTTACATTCTTTTTTGGCCTGCCTAATTATACTTTTACACTTAATTTGTCAGAGTTTATGCTCCTTTCCTATTTTCTTCAGTGGGATTTGAATTCAAACTTCAAAGGATTTTTTTCTTTGCCTCTGCCTCTTTTACTCTGTTTAGCCCTGGTGGCATTCTTTTTTGGTCTTCTGTATTTTTTTATGGTATACATTTAGTTTGAGCCTCTATTATGGTGTTTTAAAATAGTCTCCATGCATTTCACTCTTGTGACTATTCCTTTTAATTTCTGTTTAACTAGCTTTCTCATTTTTGTGCAGTTCCCCACCCCTCTGTGGTGAGTTTCTTCCCCCATGCTAAATTTAATTACGTTATGATTGCTATTACTGAGTGTTATTCAGCTTCCGACTCTGAATGGAACCCTAAAATAATCCTAAACACAGTCTTCATGGTGAGCCAGAGGCAGAATAAGAGGACTCTGCCAGACTCATATGAAGAGGGGAAATCACTTGCAAAGAATGTGTGGCACTGGTTTGAGAAATTTTTTTTTATTATGTTGAAAAAACATACTTAAGAGTCTCTACATGACAAAGGAAGAACCCTCTTGGCTGAAGAGATAAAGCATATGGAACATTAACAGAGGAAGAATAAACAGTATTAGAATTTTTTGCCTTATAGCAGCATTTATCAAGGTGTAGAATCCATCACTTGAATCATTTTAAACTAGATGGGACTGAACAGTTGAGAACGCAGTGGAAAGAACTCTTGCACTGGCTGGGGGAAGACTAGGTGAGCTAATAGATCTTCCGATCACTGATTCCCAATAATTCTGTAAAAAAGAAAAAATAACAATACAGCTAAACAGCCAATCATGCCTAACTTTCCTACACTGACCTAGACCTTCTTCCACATGGTGCAGGCAGAAAAAAAATGAACTAGCTAGGAACTCTGCTTTCTCTTGTTCATATCTGCTAGGGGGAGGAACCAAACACATTAATCTGCACTGCTATAAAAGGATCCTGTCCCCTTTGTTGAGAGCACATTCATAGCGCACACTGTTAACACTTAACCGATAAAATGAATGTTTTTGTGTTTAAAATGAATTTTAGACTTTTTTGTCTTTTTATTTGAAAATAGAGAATTTAGTGCTGGTGATGAAAAGTGTTGCATTTGCAGCTCTTGAGACCTAAGTCTCCACCAAACTGATACAACACAGGCAGGGACATCTCCAAACTTCCTCCTGAAAATGTGCCTCAACCCTGACCAGGACTTCTAGTCATGAAAGTATAGCTAAAGTCGGCCTCTCTTCTGAAACTGCCAACAAAGATGGCTGCTCTCATGTAGTTCTCCAGGAATGGACTGAGTCCACCCACTCATTTCGCCCAGGCCACTAAACAGCCTTCAGATACTAACAATTTTGTCTGGTGCAAAACTTGACTTGTGATTTAGAGGGGAAAAGCTCTATACCTTATTACCAATTTCCTGAAAAAGTCAAAATCCCTGTATCCTTCCTCTCATAACTGTATGCTTTACTCTGCTAATTACATGTCACTTTATTAGGAAGCTGAAGCAAGGAGCATAGTTGATGCTAATGAAGTGCTATGTTTGAATCTCTTCACTATTTTTAGACCTGAATATCTTCAGCACTTTTGACTGGGGGGGGCTAGGATTTTAGATTTCTCTAGTTTCTTCTGTGGGCCACGCTGTTAGTATAAAGCAGTGACTCAGCTAGTCAGGACAGTAGAATTGTTTACATGTTCAAAATAGTGAACACAAAAGCAGCTCTTTAGTTGACAGAAGTATTGTGAAGGTGATGGTAGTTGTGAATGTAATATTTTAGCTTTTAAAGATCTTTCCAAATATTTAAATCTTTTCTCTGTCAGTAATTTGGAGGGTGTTTTTATTTCCTATTTTTTCTATTCCTGGAGTGTCTCAGAAACATCAAACATTAAAATAATTTTCCAATAGCTTTAAAATGATAAAGATTAAAATAGATTTGGATAAAGTAAAATTGGATTCGTAGTCTACATGCTGCACCACCTTATTAGAGCTGAAGGAGCTACAGTCTATTCCATTTTATGTAGTAAAGAATGAGGGGGCCTATCTGGAGATCTAAGAATGGAGTAAGAGCCAGGTTCTGTCTCTAATGCTTTCCATTGCTTTGAGTGTAACATATCCTCTCTTCCTCTATTTTGCCATCTGTTAACGGGGATAATATCCAGCTGTTCCCCAGGAAATGTTAGAATTGTTTAAAAAGTACGTTCAAGATAAATGCTAAGTATCACCATACACATTAGGCACTTAAATACAATAGTGATGGTTGCTTTAGAACTGCCTAAGAAAATTAGATACGTGTGGTCATCAGCTGAGCAAAGAGTGAGTATGATCCAGTTATAGCAATTTTTCCCATATAAAACATTCTTGTGAAAAAAATTAAAATTGCTACTACAGTTTCCCAGATATTTCCTAAGAATTTATCAACACAGTCTGAACACTGTATTCTCAATCTCGAGACATTGGAGGATCATACTCAATATTTCTGGATGTGAAAGAATCAGAACATTGCTTGCACCTGACTTGTCTTATGAGGACTCTCCCCGAGGGAGAGTTTTTCCCCATTGTTCGGATTTATTTTACTTGAGCAAATTTAGGGCATATTGAAGTTCTTCCATGCCAGTGGTTCCCAAACTGCGGTTTGTGAACCCTGGGGGTTCGTGAAATGTTATAGGGGGTTCTCGTGAAAAAATTCCCTAATGGTGGACAGAGCTGTCCCTAGGGACCCCGGGCAGCCCGGGACCAGCAGCCCGGAGCCCCTGGACTTCCAAGAGCTAAGCAGATCAAAGCAAGCATATCTATCCCACTGAGGAGATTTAAACTTAAAGACTCCTTATAAGAAATGCAAAGGGAGGTGGATATTTTTTGCTGTTTTTAAAATGAAACAGGCAGCTAGTATTGCTTTTAAAATTATGATGAAGAACAAGTTTAAGCTTTGTTGTAACATGCATGATTTGCCTGGACTGCTCAAGACCTGCATGTTTGTGTAGGAGGAATTCTTGATTTGAGCTGTCTTTTTAAATTCCTGCATGTTGTTTCACATCTGATACTCCTTGATGAAAGCTAGGAGCCTTGTCTTATAACAGGCTTATTCAAAGTGATACAAGCGACAGAAGTGAGATCTTGGAAGAGTGTTACCATTTTCATAAGGTAATAAAGATACTGTCATGAGGAGAAAATCCCTGGAAATGTTCATTTTTAGGAGGGGGTTCGTGACACTTGACATTTTAGTGAAAGGGGTTCGCGGATTGATAAAGTTTGTGAACCACTGTTCCATGCTAATGACCATATGCTTCCCTTTGCCCCTTGCACATAACTTCAATAGGAGTTCTATCTGAATCACTGAGGAACCTGATCCTAGAAAGGTAAGAGTCACTTTACAATTTGTGATGGACAACAGGATTTAAGTGAGATTTTATTATTTTAAAGATAGATAGGGTTGTGGGTTTTTTCCTCAATCTTGTCAAATATTGTCATATGACAGTTCCTCAGTTATTTTAAGAAAATGCTGAATATACCCCAACACATACCTCAACTACCCACATACCTTGATGAGTCACTGACAAAGAGCGCATCTAGTACACACTGATTGTGACAGGCAGGTTAAAAGAAGAATGGGACAAATGAGAGAAAATTATATATAGATGTTCTCAAACAGTGGTTTTTGACCTTTCTTCATTTGTGGACCCATCAAATATTTTGAATGGAGGTACGGACCCCTTTGGAATCTTAGACATAGTCTGCAGACCTCCCAGGAGTCCGTAGACCACAGATTGAAAACCACTGCTCTAGAGCTAATGTAGAATAATATTTGATATTTTCAGAGACATCAGGAATAGATAACACACAGGTCAACCTGCAACACTGAGTGCCAGGACCTATAATGTTTATGGGCCCCACCTGCTTAAGGCTGGTTGAAAACTGCTCATCAACTCCCTCTGCTGTACAATGTACTTCATACATATGATCAGCCGCACTGAGCCCTATGCCAATACTAACTAAAGAAAAACAACATCCATTAAGTAGGAAAGCCAACTACGCAGGCATTTCTGCAAGAGGTATTTGAAAGTGAGCATTTTTTCTCTGTAATTGGGCAGAAGGTTGATTGCGAATCTGTGTACACAACTGTGATTTTGAGAGAACTATTTATATTACTAATGCCATCGTCTTCCAGATATTTCTGTGCAATTTGAGATGGAAAACTGGAACCAATCAGGGTTGACCTTTCTTCATTTTAGAGCAATTTGCTCCTGTTAATGGACAAAGAGTGAATCTCCCCTTAAGTACAGATGATGTGCATACATTCATAGGAACCCAGAATTCTAGGTATTTGTAGAATAATGTATCAGGTTTCAAAATAAACTCAGAGATATGCTTATGAGCAGAGAGTCCTCTTTGCTCAGGCTAATGAAGCAATAGCCGATACTGGGGCCAGGAGGGAATAAGAAGAAAGTATAGGATTTTAGAAGAGCTGGCATGTTAGGAAGTTGGTCAGGATAATGGTGCTACTTGGGCAGTTTACGTTTTGCAGGATTCCACTTGGATAGGATATCCTGTTTTAAATGTGTAGTATCTAGCTGTTGTGGCCTGCAAGAAAACTGGTATAATTTGTTTTGAGATTTCTACAGTGATTGGTGAATGAAAGGTGCATTTTTCAAATCCTAGCTGAACAAAGCTGCAGGAAAACTTAAAATGCTGGTGAATTATGTAGCAGTGGCTTGGAAGGGGCTCTGGTTATTCAGTTAAGGATACCTGAAGCCTTGGTCAAAGGCTAAGAGCTTTTCTACATAAAGAAGTTTACTGGTATGAGTGTCCTTAGTGGGAGCTTGTAATAAATCAGTAAACTTCCCTATGTGGGCAGATCCTCAGACGAGTCATTTGTATTTAAAAAGAAGACAGCTAAAATTAAACTGCTTATTTATCTTGCTTGTACTAAAACATGTTGCTTGTTAGTGGAAAGAAGGTGCCTACCTCAAGGCAAATGGGAGGTTCTATGTGGACTAGAAGTGCCACCTATGTTGTGGGGAGCCGAAATCCAGTTTCACTCAGAGGGCTGGGGCATAATTTTGTACTACGCAGAGCCATCAAGCCCTAGATCCTCTCCTGTATTTAGGTGTAGTGTAGTAGGGCCTAGGAACCCTAGTCACAGGCTGGGCCCACTATACTAGGCACTGTAAAAATAACAAAACTCTCCCCCTATCCCACTGGGTAGAATATTGCCTTTGGCTTGTAACTCAGTAATTTGTTCACTTACTATTATTACATTCAACTTTGCTCAGTGGAAGATCATACTCACTATTAGGGCCCTCACTATTTCTGCCTCCTCCACCTCTCCCTTTCCTATAGCAACTCCCAGCTCATGTTCCATCTGCTAAAATGATCAGCAATGAAATAATGAATGTTGCTGACTCTGGAAGAAATCACTGCATTGCTTCACTTGGGTCACATATGAAGTTATTTTTGCAATGATGTGGGCTGGTTTTTTTTTTTTAATTTAAAAGATTTTCTAAAATTTTGCAGAAATCTGAATGTTATGAAGGCAATAAAAATACACTGAGTGGGCTGCTATCTTGTCTATTGCTCAGGAATTTGACAGCAGTGGATTAAATTGTATTCTGATAGATGCCAAGGTGTACATTTTTAGACTACTTTGCCCTTATGTAGCACATTGCAGTGGTAGATTTTTAAGAGCTCCATCTACCTTGGCCAGTGAGCAAGACATGCCTAATGGTCCAATGCTGCAAGTTTCCAAGCACTTATGTGCTTAACTGAACACCTCAGTAGGCCTACTGACTTCTGTGGGACTACTTGCATGCTTAAGTGGTTTGTTAGATCAGGACCAGAGCGCTCAGCACCTTGCAAGATCTAGCTCTTGTACGTGAACAAATGGAAGCACGAGGCTTAGGTGATTTGTCAAAACACCCCCAGCAAGTCTGTCAGAGCCAGAAACTGAAACAGGACTTACTCCCACATCACCAGTAAGGAAGTTCAATGTTAGTGAAAGCAGAAATACCAGGGGAGTCACACATACACATGTGAACATTAAAAAGTTAATAGTTATGGATAGAATAGTTTTGGAAAGTTTCCTGTCAAGAAAGACACTTGGTCCATTTATGGCAGGACATGGAAAAATATAAGAACACTGACTAAAAACCTTGAAAAAGTTTACCCCAATTTGTCACTACTACTAGCCAGAAGGACCTGTAGAGGATATCCTTCCCAAGTAGTGCGAGCACCACGCCTAGCACTCTTATCATTTGGATTTTAAATGGGACTAATGGTTTTAACAGTGCATTTCTGAAAGCTGTCACTTGCTCATGTCATGTAAGAAACTCCATCTGTTCAAAATGCAGGGCCACATTCCTCAAAATAGCACAACTTAAAACCACTAGCAATTTTCTTATTCAATCCAAACTGTTAAGATATGTACATTACAAAGCTAATTATAACTGGAATCAGACAAACCCCAGTTTTTTCCCCAATTTTAATGTGTTTTCAGAAAATTTAGAACACCAATTTGTGAGGATAAACTCCATTGGAGAGAGAAAATACAGAACGCAGGTAGCCACGGAGCTGAGGCACCTTCTTGATTATTGGCAGGATTTGAGAGTCCACCGTCTTCTGATCTGCCTTGCGTTGTTCTGTTATCTCATATTTCTAAAGAACAAAATTAAGAGAGAGTTAAAATACTACAGAGATTTAGACCCAGTTGGTTATCCCTACAGAGCTAAGGCTGGCTTCTTGCTTCCTGCCATGCCAAGGGCTTTTTCACTGAGTAAGCATTTCTCAGCATTCACTTGGAATTTTCCTTTCCAGGGAACAAAAAAACCCAACCAAAAATAGTTCTATCAGGGCCACGGGACTCAAGTCACCTCCAGTAGATAATTAAAGCTGTTTGAGTTTACACAACTGATAAGAGTTTATCTAAAAGAATAGGAATAGACCTTAGCTAAAAGAGCTGTTGCTAAATTTTATCAGCTGATGCAAACGGAGCCCCTAAAATCACAATACATGGAACACTTATGGACAAGAGACCACAGAATGCACATTAAGAAAATTCAGGGCTATTTTATGACTCCGTTTACAGTACACGATTGAGTCCATGCACACTGGAGATGCTGCTTTAAGAAGCTGTGTTCAAGCACCTCCTCAGTATGGAGTTATTTTGATAAACAGCAACATTTTAAGATGTCTTTCCCCCAGTGTTAGACACACGGGGGGGGAGGTAATATCTGAAAAGCACTATATCTTGAAAGTCTGTCTCCTTCACCAACAGAAGTTGGGTCTTAAAAAAAAAAAAAGGATATTACCTCACTCACTTGTCTCGAATATCCTGTGACCAACACAGCTGTTGTCAGATTCATGCATTTTAGTGGACTTGACCTTGCTTTCTTTTAAAATGTTCTTAAAAATTACATTTGTTTCCTTACTTCTTTCTCAGTGTCAAAGATCTCGCCTTCTTGATGTTTGGGCTTACGCAGCCTCTTCTTCTTAAAGTACGCATCAGTGAGATGTTTTGGAAGTTTCACCCCAGAGATATCAACCTTGGTAGACGTGGCAATAACGAATTTCTGGTGAGTTCTGCGCAGAGGGACACGATTGATAGCCAAGGGTCCTGGTGGCATAGAAAAATACTCAGAAGGAGTTGCAATGTCAGCTTATCACTGGAGAAATAGTACTCCCTTTCTTGTTTGTGTCTTTAGCTACACTAAAAGGAAGGTCACTTTCCATTAGGATGATTAGTTTGAAGTGAGGGGACAGTTGCAGAGGACAGTTGGCTTCACTTACTAAAATCCAAACTAATAAAGAAAATTAGGAGACCCTTTTCTCAAGGCTTCTGATATCAGAACTTAAACAGTCATATCACGGGTACCTCAGGCTAGTCAGAAAAATGTCTATTCACAGACAAGGGGTTTGGTGTTATTAGGGAAGTACAACAATCCCAATCATGGTAGAGTCTGAAGACAGGCTGTCTGGACAGACTTACAATGAATTCAACAGGAATTAAACAGACTTGAGTGAATAAAGTTTCTTACCTGTTACCAGCAACAGACCACTAGCAAGCTGCTTCAGGAAGACCACACGCTGAAAACCAAACACAATAGGACATCAGTCTCAGACAGCAAAGCTAAATGCAGTTTGATGTCTGGGAAAATATCAGGAGCTGATTTTTGTACAAAAAGTTTCAAAGGAGGAGACACACACTTTAGCCAGAAAGGCAAAAGGCATAGCAGTACCAAATCCACAACACTGTAGAACAAAAACTATTCTGACAGGACCCATTTCCAATGGCTAAGGAAACCAAACTAGAAACGTAAGTAGTTGGACTATGTTTAATTGTCTAGAACAGAATTTAAAAACTGGAACAGGAACTGGCTTGGGACCCAACAACTGCATTCCTGAGCAGCCCCTTTTGTAAGTTATATGGGTTTACATTGGGCAAAGTCTAGCAATCAATCAGCTGCAAGTCCCTCCAATTCTTTACCTATCACAGAGGTATAAGAAAGGCGTGGGCTACACTTCAATTTATAAATTGATGTACCTATGTCAGTCAGGGGTGTAGGGAAAACCGCCGCCCCTACCACTGACTGAAAAACTCCTTCTGTTGGTGTATGCTGCATTTACAATAGGGGGCTTTGCCATCAGACGCTCTGTAGAGTATACAGAAACTTCTTCAAAATATTGGTAGAGCAGATGTGGCATGGAAGGGTATATGAAAGACAATTCTCCTGTACCTTGCCTCTGTGGCGACCAGTGAGAATGATCAGAACAGTTCCTGGAGTAATAGAAGCCCGCAGTTTCCTCTTGTGTTGGCAGAAGGGCTTTTTGCCATGACTCAAGAGCTTGCGAGGAACATCTTCAGTTGGGTAATATCTAGGCTAGAGAAAAAGCAGCAAATTATTAGCCAGAACTGCACTTTTACTATTCCATCAGTGAACTTAGTGAAAACAGTTTAATCTGAGTTTTGATCCTTCTGCTTTTAGTGGATGCAACACCTCTTCTCTCATGGGAAGACTATCTTTCCTAAAAGGCTATTTCCATCTTATCCCCCTTTAGATTTTGTGTTTCTCTGTTGTACACAGGATTCACTTTGCTGCAGGCTAGCCTCTTATAGAAACTGGCACTTCTGAGTGATACATATTAGGTACACAATGTTGCATTTTGCATCAGATAGCTAATCAGTTACTTTTATTTTTTTCTATGCTGTGTATGTTATTTGTGATTGTGTTTACAATTCACTAGAGAAGAAATGCTAGACTGTGCCCTACTGTGCTCCTCATTCATAGGCCTATGCCCATTCAGACAATGACCCTAGTCCATCATGGAGGGTGTCAGGGTATTCCCATGGAAATCTCCTTAATGCTGCATGTAGTAGTCTCCCTTACATGTCAACAGGCAATTAGCCCAGTAATATACACCCAGAAGCCAACGGTACACATTCTCTGATTCAGGCCATGTCTACACTGCCCCACAGAGGTGTGAATAGCAGTGCTGTAGCTCCCCCATGTGAACACTGTGGGTGTGAACTAAAAGGTTCCTAGTTTGCCTAGAACAGCTGCTCCCCAGCTTTATTGTTAAGTGTACCACCTTCTTTTTAATAAAAAAATTATTGTGAAGTAAATGTATGGGGCATCAAGCTCCCATAGCATCAGTGGCGCACACACCAGTTAGGGAACACCTGTTCACAAAAGCCACAGTAAATATAAACGTGATGTGAATATCTCTTTAAAAGCAAGACTCTTACTCCCCACCCCACTTCTTTTAACCCCCCCCCCCAAACCCGATATATTAATGAGTCACTATCTTAAATGCAAGTATCTACATAACAATTTTACAGTGCTATACAGGCAATCTATAGTGGAGATTATACTGTCTCATAGCCCAGAAGTACATCAACAGCAGCACTCTCTATGGAAGTTTTTCATTACAAAATAGAAAGCATATTCTCTTGTCATCTACGTCAATGCAACTCTGTAACTCAGCGTTTAGCAGGAACAAAATTCTGCTTGTTCAATGTAGTTATTTTTGCCCCACTAATCTATTCTTACCATTTTACGAATTTTTACCACACGGTTGCCTCCATTCTTATCTCCCCCAACTGGTTTTGTGAGGGTAGCAGGTGCTTTCTCTCTTTTTTTCTTTTCTATCTATTAACAAAACAAACAAAAATTTCAAACAAGGTAACTTGTGAAACTTGAGACACAACGTCATTAGTTAAACGTGGAAATTCATCCCCTTTATACCTTTGTTTCTGGCGCATCATACTTGCGCTTGTACATGGCTTTTCTGGCATACATTGCTGATCGGGAATATTTCCCAATTCCTCGGGCCAGCACTGGGTTACGGCTTGCATGGTGCTTTCTAGGCTTCTTTGCCTTCTTCTCACCTGCCTTCTTCTCGCCTGCCATCTACCAAATATCAAAATAAAGTATAAGTGATGTGTCACATCAAACAAAGAAACTGCACAGAAAAAACGTAATGGTTGCAAAAAACAAAAGCAAATTATACTTAAAAAAATCCATGGTGTTCCTACGGTGGTCTTGAGACTATTTGGCTATATTTACTGTACTATCTTTTGCATCAAAGCCACCTAATCTACATGGAGCCTAATCAAGATGCACAGGACACCACATCCACTACATCTCGCTTGTAACACAAGGCCACCTATATAGTAAATATAGGTGCTACAATTCAGATACCTGACCATGTCCAAAAGTACTAAAGCAGAGATCCCAGGTAAGAGGAAAACGCAAATACAAGTTGGGGCTGCAACTGCATGACAGCCCATAGACTAGGGAAGTAAAGAGAGAGGGGCAATAGCCAGCTTCTCATGCCCAAGGCCATAGCAACATAGTGACTTGCGGCTTTTACATGCTCTACTCTTATACATGCCCTAGACAGAATCCCCAACCTAGGCAAGGCTCCGACATGATTTACCGCAAGGAGAAGAGACTGGAGGCGAAAGAAGAATCCCCCTCCTCTCTGTGCCCACCACCCATACGATCTGCCTCCGGCTGGAGCGTCCTCATACGTTTCGGACCGAAGGGTTCAAGCCGGGCTGGGGCTGCACTTTACAGACTCCCAACCTCTGCTCCGGCCGACTCTGGTCGGCGCCCGGGGAAAGGGGCTCCTAGGATCACCCCCCACCCGAGGCGCTTTTCAACCCACTGCGGCGGCTGCCGGATCCCCAGCCACACAGTCACCAGAGCGGGCCAACCGCGGCCTACACCCCCGGAGTCACCGGGGCCCGCGAACTCCGCACATACGTGCGCCCCCGCATGCATCCGGCCTCCCCGGAGCCACCGAGCCGGACCCGCGGGTCCTTCAGAGCCTCCTCAGGGCAGATGGCGGCAGATAGTAGTTACTGCTCCCCAGCAATAAGCGCCGCCACTCCGCCATTCTTACCTTCCTAGAAGGGAAAGGGAGCAATATCCGGGAACCCGGCTCTAAAGCGAGCCCAGCGTCTGACATCACCCCGTCCACTCCGGGGCACGCTGGGAGATGTAGTTTGTGGTCTCTAGCGGTTGCTGGCTGGCTGTAGGTTTCACTACGGAGCGGGGGAGGGTCAAGATCTGGGTCAAAGGGAGGACACTCTCGCCCTCTGGTTATAGAAGGGGGTAGTGGGATTTGGTCACGAGTGGGACTGACTGGATTCTGTCTTGGCTGGGGTTGGAGAAGAAGGTATGTGATGTGTTGAGAAGTTACAGGGCTTATGGGTTCTGTTCTTGGTTCTGCAGATGACTTAACCCCCCTCTCTAATGTAGCAAACAGCTAAGTGTTTAACTTCATTACCTGGAACTTGTAAGAGTTAAGTTTGTGTTAATCTGCAGAATTGGGGCCTTGATTAATAATAAACCTACACCTATCAGCGTCATGGTTCCATATAGTTTAGTTTACCAGTCTGTATATAGCCACTTCACAGAGTTGTATAAAGGTTACTTAAGGTGACACTATTGACTTGAAAAACACAATTGTAGACAAAAATTGTACCTATTATGTGTGACCCCAACTATAAATGAAAGTTTGTTTCTTTGAGTTTTTGAGAGCATTTTTAATACAGTAAAGTATTTTGTAGATGGTTAGTTGCGGTTCCCCTCTCATGCAGTCGGGTGACTCCAGCGGGGGGAGTAGATGCCTCGTATTTTTGGAAGAGGATTTTTTTAAAAAATAGCACTGTTTAAAAAAGGATCTCGATCAGCAAACTGATTTTTAAAAAAATACTCATTCAAATCAAGTTAACGTATCGCCTCAGATCGTGTTTGCAAAAGATTTAGATGAAAGGTGCTACTTTAAGTACAAGGTGTTACCACGAGACATTTGAAATTGGATGCTGTGCATGCAGAGAGTTCTCAGAAGATGCACCTATGGGTGCACGCAGAGCTCCTCTAAAACATCCAGCCCTCGTCGCGCGCGGATCCCTCAGGCCAGCAGAGCTCCCGGGGCGAGGAAACGCAGCTATCAGCGCGTGCACGCAGGCCCCGCGTGCCCGCACTGCGCAGCCACCAGGGCTCCCGGCCGACGGGCGCGTGCAAGCTCGCGGCCCGCCCCAGCCGGCCCCGCCCCCGCCCATGGAGGCTGGGCCGGTCGCGGGCGGATGACGTCCGGGCAGGCTGCGCCGCGGTTCTGTGTCTCCGCGGCCTGGCTGCGGCTGCTTCTCACGCTTCCCTCCGGGTCCCCCCCAGGCCGCGTCCCGCCGGGGGAGGGCCCTTCCCCCCCGTGAGAGGCCGAGACTCGGGGGGACGGGCAGCTGCGGGCGCCGCGGGGGAAAATGACATCGCGGAGGTGAGGCGAGGGGGCCGGGGCCAGCTGCCCCTTTCACGGTGGGGGGCGGGGCCCCACCTTCCCCTGGAGCAAAGGGCCCGGCGGTGGGCGGCAGAGACTCCCCTGGGGCAGGCCGCGCCCCCCTCCCTCTGGTGCGGGGCCGCTCTCTGCTGCGGTGAATTAAAGGGCAGCAGCCCAGCCCCCCTCTTCCCCCCCCCCCGCCCCCGGTGTCCTTTGGTGCAGGCAGGGGCCCTCCCCCTGCAGATCACGGTTTAATGTGCCCAGTGGCCCAGGAAACTGGCCGCCCGGCACTCCAGGCTATGGAGAATTCCTCCCGTGTGGCAGTGGGCATTAGCAACAGCTGCGTTACTGAGCGTGCGGGTTTGGGAATTAAAACGTGAATCAGCTTCTAGAGTTATCAACTGCAGGCTCATGTTTTAGGTGGCCGATACGTTGTAGTTTAGCAGCGTACAATCTACTTCCAAATACCTGCAGGATTGCTGGATTTAGACTTTGAAAAACTCCGTTAAATTTGAGTTTATTGCAGATGTGTGTGGTTTTCCCACATCTCATTTTTACTGTGTAGAAGACACTCGTTTATCCTTTGTCATTACATTTTCCATTTATTTTCTTTTATTCTTTTTGGTCTGGTAATCTATCACAATAATTGAATTAAAGGAGAACTGTTAAGATAGAAATATCATATTTTAATTTTACTTGTATTTAATTCCTTTGATTATGAAAACTGACCCATCTTTTTAAAAATCTGATTTGCTTTACACTGTCTGTTTACAGAGGAACAGCCGTGTTAGTCTGTATTCGCAAAAAGAAAAGGAGTACTTGTGGCACCTTAGAGACTAACCAATTTATTTGAGCATGAGCTTTCGTGAGCCACAGCTCACTATGAAGTGAGCTGTGGCTCACGAAAGCTCATGCTCAAATAAATTGGTTAGTCTCTAAGGTGCCACAAGTACTCCTTTTCTTTTTACTGTCTGTTTACTTTTTCTTTTTCAGTTTACAATCATGAAGCTAGATTGTCAATTTCATTGTAGGGTTCTCTTCCTTCTTAACACTATGTTATTGTGTCTGGATCTCCAGCAGCTGGGTAGATGTTTAAAGTGGGAGGGAAATTTAAAAATTGAAATGGGGGGTGGGGGTGGAATCTTAAGTATTTCTTTTCATATCGGTTTCAGTGACACTTTCCACCCCCCTTTTAAAATAAAGCCTAAAATACATGTGCCTGCATTAGTTAGGTGCTCATCTTTGCTCGCTGTCTGACTCTTGAGAATTAGCCCTCTTAGCCCATTCAAAAGTTAAAGTTGAAAGGGGCTCATGAGAGAGAGTGAATAAAGATTAGAAATTTAGACAAACCAGTGAGCCTATAAGTAGGAATAATTAAACTAAAAGTCACCACTTTCCTGATCTGTCTAGTTTTGTCATCCAAAACCCAAAACTCAGTGGACTGAATGCATCCAATGAAGTGAGCTGTAGCTCATGAAAGCTTATGCTCAAATAAATTGGTTAGTCTCTAAGGTACCACAAGTACTCCTTTTCTTTTTGCAAATACAGACTAACACGGCTGCTACTCTGAAAACTGTTAATGTAGTTTGTGATTCAAGAATGTCCTAAACCTTCTGAGTTCTGCAAAGAGGGCTTTTGCACAGTCATACTCTGGTTCTCCAGAATATTTCTTTATCTGAAACAAGGGCATGTTCCCTGTTATATAATACTCTTGGAAAAGGCCGCCTTCTTATCTGGTATCCCCATCGTCCTTGTTGTAAATGATGTTTGACTGTCCCTCGTTGGTTATCTTTCCACTAGCATTTTTGTCTTATTGTAAAATGCCAAGTAGAATGCTATATGACTGAAACTATTAAATCATGCTTTGGGGAACATTAAATCCTCTGTTCTCATTGTGGGCATAAATAGAATATGTTGCTATGTATTGATTTTTGATTGTATTATAGGCTCTTGGTCAGTTTTACACTAGGAATAACTCCTGTGTCTGCTTAGAACAGAGCTAGAAAAGGAAAGAAAAAAAAATCTAAAATACATTCCACTCCTATGAAAGGAAACATAAGTGAAAATCCTCTGAAGGGTTTATATTACTCCTGTCTGTGTCTATGCAATCCTCTCTGCTTTCCCACCAGTGTTGGAAAGGATGTGGCCAGCATGGTTCAAAAGCGCAAATGTGGTGGCAGTATGCCAAATGAGGTTATCCTGATCACCGGTCCGGAACCATTTAACACAGATCGCTAACACCCCCATTTCTTTCTATTTGGGGTGGTTGACAAATGCATCTTCCTACTCAAAGCCAAAAATACAAGAGTGAGAGAGCAGGAGAACCAGTTACCATTAGAACAGAAGTTATAACATGTGCAAAAACTTGGTCACTTTCCTGCATGTACCTTTTTTGGTCCCAAACCCCAGCTTTGGTGGGCTACAGGAAGAAAGATCCTCCTTTTATAATCTTACATGATTCCATAACCAGTTTTCAAATATATTGTATTATGGTCCCTTCTGTTCACTGAGATGTATTGTCTTTTGGCATAACTTTACATGATGTGTATAACTAGTAATGTGGTGGTATGTATATTTGTGTACTTGTAGGACCAGGTGTTGCAAGTAGCATGTGTGGAAACTCGCAGTGAAGTTAGTGGAAGTTCTGCATGTGGCATGCTTGTAGAATTGATTCCAATACTTTCACGTTCCTATGTCTACGCTTCTCTTTTTCATGTAATTATAATTAAAGTTCAATGAAATCGTCACTTAAATCCCACATATATTAAAAAGTCCTACATGACAATGTTTTGAAGTTACTGCTTCTCGTAGAAGTTCTATAGTGAGGTATGATTGTTGGAAACCTAATAGATGAACAAGTGTATTGCCTATCCTTCATAGCCAGATTGTTCCTTGGAGTTAAGGTGACCAGATGTCTCGTATTTATAGGGACAGTCCCGTTTTTTGGGACTTATATAGGCGCCTATTACCCCTTACCCCCTGTCCTGTTTTTTCACAGTTGTTATCTGGTCACCCTACTTGGAGTACATTTTCAAGCATCCAGTCCAGTCTGGTTATTAAAATCCCGGGCAATGCGGCTTGCACTGCTTCTCTTGGCAGACTATTCCAAAGTTTAATACATTTCCCCATCAGGAAACTTTTCTTGACATTCAGGCAAAATTTTCCCATTATTAATTTCATCCTAGTTCTATCCCTGTGTCTCCTTGTATACCACATAAAATTCTTCTTGCAGTTTACACTTTCCAGGTACTTGTAGAATGTTTCTGTGTTCTCCACCTAGCTGCTTGGTCTAGGTGTACACATTTAGGACCAGATGTTTAAAGGTGTCTAAAGATAACTGCTTTGAAAATTGTACTAGGTGCCTGCCTGCATCTTTTGGCATCTAAATACCTTTAAAAATCTAGCCCTTGATCCATATAATCTTCATAATTCAATCCTTCTGACCCTAAGATTTTTTATTTTATTTTTTTGGCAGGGTCATCTTGTCCGTCATCCTATTGCCATTTAATGGCTGATCACCAGTGTGGGATAAGTCTGTCTTTCATAATCCACAGTCCACATAATACACACTATGTGTTTACCATAGACTCCTCTTTTCTAAGCAAGTGTGATCATCTGTGGTCCAGAAGAGGTTAAAGTTATCAGTTACTTAATTGGGTGAAAGTGAGTAGCAGACAGTCAGGTTATGTTGCTGGGTTTAGTTG